GAGAATGGTAGCTTTAAGCCTGCGATTAATTGCAGGTGTGCAATACATAGATTCAGGAAAATATATGTACAGTTTGGTCTGCACCAATTTGTGCTCAGTGCCACACTCAGCGCCACGCAGTACACGTGTCATGCGCACTTCACCCATACCCCGCTGAAGTATGATGACATAGTCGAGCAGGTAAGCGTGACAACACCGTGGGTGCGTCCAAGTTTTTATATCACTCGCACTCAGTGCAAACCGAGTGTTCGTGATCGTCAGACCGTGAGTGGCACATAGTGAGAGCAGCCTGTCCCGTGCGCATTCGCTGAACCGGTGCCATGCGAACTGATAACGTCTGCCCACGCCGTTGCGTCATGCCCAAAGCGCGCGTTGTAATCCCCCAGCAGAAATAGTCGGTCGCTCCTCGGCACAGACCGTATCACGGAGGATAGCTGAGTGTAGAATTGAGCACGCGGGTCATCCGGATAACACGTGGTCGGACCGTACGTGTTTATAAAAGTGGCCAACTTACCGCGAACAGTCGTCAGTCGCGCGCTGATGCCTGTTGGTTCACCTACTAGCTGGCCATGGAGGCGATCGGATATGGAAAACCCGACCCCATGATTACGTGGTGCTGAGGCGGCGCTGTCCATCCAGTAAATGTGTAGCCACCACCTGCTTCATGCAACTTACCTCGCCATGCGAGTCGAATTTCACTGAAAGCCGCAATATCCATGTGGTAACGCGCCAGCGCCATCGCGCCTAGTGCAGTGCGGCACTCGCTGCGCTCACTGGAGTTCCGGTCCAGTGGTGTCCGCACTTTCTAGCACCCGCTGCTGAATGCCTTGCGCGCAGGCATACGATCGCATCGGTAGGGAAATCGCACTCGAGGTGGTCGCTTTGCTTCGGTTGGTTGATTGCGGGACTCCACCCAGAGCCTTTGGCTCAATAGCCTGACCCACAAGGCAGTGTGGAGCAGATCCAGCTGGAGGTTGTAATTGCGAGACAGATTGGAATCTGCTTGGCGGCCAACACACCGAGCCTTGGAGGTACTGGAACGATGCATATATGTTTAGCGACCTTTGTAGGCTACGCACCAGCTACCAAGGCCAGACGCAGATGGGTTTTGGAGGGTTTGCAGCAATTTGGCCAGGAGCTGCCTGGCTTGAGGCAGGCAGTAGTAAACCAGTGGACATCCGGTGGTGCCCTCCCACCGTCAGAGACAGTGCGTGGCGCTCGTGCTCTACGCCAATAGAGCTATGAGCTTATAACCCGTAGACCTGTTGTCTCCCGTGGCTAGGTTTTACGGGAAGTGGGCTACCGACCACTTCCTAACCTCCGAGGAGAATGGACTAGGATACTGGCAGGGCGCCCAATCCTGACAGGAGAACGACTCGGGTCCTCAAACAAGCCTTCGATTAATTGTACTCCCGATGGTCAGCGGGTCTAGCACATGGTCCGTTCACTGACTTAATGTGGTTGGTGTTCTAGATAATAGCAGGGAGAAAGGCGAAACCCCACTCCCACCCAGCGGTCGCCACGAGGTTGCGTCCGGGACGGGAGACAATGGCGCAACTCTAGCGGCAGTGGGTGGAGCATCTGTCAGGATCTAGCCGCAACCAGCCTCAGCGCACCATAGGCTCTCCCGCCTCTTTGGGACCCTAGTAAAGTAAAAGCATTGGCAAGAAATGGAGCAGGCAATATTTCAAGTATAAATACTACTCTTTAGCGACTAACCGAGAAACATACGTAAATGATAAATAAATAAATAAAGGTATAGTCCTATCCTTGCCTAACAGCCGTGCCCTCGATTGGGCCGAACTTATTGTACACTGACCGCATGCTCTTGCATGCGTAACAATGGAGTTAAGTTTATAAACTACTTGAGCGCGAGTACTGCACCAACGCTGTAGTAGCCGTCTCTCTACTATAATTATTCCAGCTCCGTTAGCAATTTTTGTTTAATTACGGTCTTGATAACTGGTGCGCTCATGGAAATAGAGAAGAGAAGGGATGACATCAGAACTTTCAAAAGAAGAGATTTGTACTTATTTCTAGTAAACAGTAATAAAGAAGTTTTGATATAAATAGCTTCACAAATAGGACGACCCTTCGGTGTAATTAGCTAGTTGGCTATGAAGGGTGAATAAAACGGAATTAGTACGAGTAGGAGATAAAATGCTTATCAAAATGTACCGCCGGAAGGTAAATGCACCAATGTGTTTAACTTAGGTAGAAGCGCCGGCTTATCTGATAGAAGTTAGATTTGGATAGTGCTATGACAAAATCTTAAGATAAATGAACGTAAGAAAGGCACCTGGTAATTGCGTGGAACATAGTATGCAGGAAAGTACAACAAGAAAAATTAGGATAAATAGAAAAGAACAAACATTATGGTATAACGAAGCTTTCAAGTGGTCGAGTACTATTGGATGTAGCGTCAGTGTTTCTGAACGCGTATGCAAACCGAAGATGGGTCTGAAATGCGAACAAACAGAAGCGGCACACTACCATTTACGTGTTGAAAGAAAATGTATAGTGTAAGTAACGGACTGAGAACAATGACAGTGACGGATATGGTGATCCCTTGAGGAAAGGTGAAGTAACACCATAGGTACGAAGGAGGGGTAAACACATTTGAAGCCTCAATATTCATAGACCTATCAGCAGCGTAGGATAAGTCAGGCATGCATAAAGTCCTCTTATGTTTAGCCGTGCCATCGTCAAAGGTAATTTTATTGCACAATACTTATTGCAGTATAAAGAAAACTTTGAGATGTAATTATCTAGTGCACATTAGAGGGGATGAGAGGAAGGTTTCGGAGCAAAACGTACCAACGTGCGGGGGTGCCAGCAGTGACGGATAATACATGGAAAGCGTTCTACAAGCATAACCAATAAGCGGACCGAAACCAACGTAACAACCAAAGGGGGCTAATAAAGTAACAAAGGAAGCGAAAGAGGCGCCCGTAAAGAGAGAAGCCACTGGTTGTGAACTAGGGATGAATCTAGGCGACAAAATGCGTAGAAGCCGAAGCATCAGTGGTCTTAAATCTGTTTGGATGCTGAAAGTAGTTCAGGCCGGAATAATGTCAGAGAGTCGCAACCAGTTATTTGGCAAAAGAATAAGGGAGAGGACTGGAAAGGCTAGGAAAATGAGCGCCTAAGCGGTTTTGTGAAGTACCTTAATATAAAGGATTTGGTCATCAGGTGAGGAATGCTTTTTGTGGCTAGCCAGAGAAAACCAGCGTACGTCATGCCCAGTGGTTACATTTTAACGAAGGAAGACTATTGGTAGGTGTAGTGGATGTGATAAATGGCGGAGAAAATAGATCGGTGTGACGGCGACAAAAAGCCAGATACTATTCCGCCCTGGGGAATCGTCGGCGGAGCAACAGCGCCCGTGGTAATATGGGCGTCAGACTGCGAAAGATAAGGCAGATCTCAGTAAATACCTATTCAGTGGTATTCAAATTGTTAGAAAGGTTGGTCAGGTCTGAGTAGTATATGGGTAAACGTAAACGTATTAAAGGAACGTGAAAAGATCGTGGAGTAAGGCGGAAAGAAAGGCCAGGTTAGCCAGGAGACTGGAGTGCCGTCAACTGTGTTACGTGAAGGATAATAATATCCAGCCCTTGTGTATGAAAGGTTCTCATCGCGAACAACACCATTTGCAGCAGTTGCGTCGGAAAGCTTACCTACTAGGTGACCAGGGACCAGTATCCGGCGCTGAGTTTCACACACGGGAGGCCCAACAGCTGTCAAATAAATGGATCTAATAAGTGCAGGGATGGAAAGAATAAGGTAATATTCATGGCGTGAATGAATAAAAGCAATTGCCTCAAATAGTGCTGACAGATGAATAAATGAGTAATAGTCCTTCTGATGCACACGGTCAAATATCTAAGACCGGCCAGTTGGTAAGGTACAGGTCATTAAGATAAAATAGTACGAAAGATATAAATAAAACATCGGTCATGGATGGCAGGTGGAAGGAAAACTCCTGTCGGTTGTGGCTAAAATGAAAAATCTGTGCGATATATGCCAGCCGTATCTGATACATTAATGTTACGGACTCTCCAAGTGGCAACAAACAGGTCTGATATTAGTTGGTATTTGTTACTCCCACAGTAAGTTCGGTCAAACATAAGGATGTAGAAAGAAGCAGGCAAATAAGAATAAAACGTCGTGTGAAAATAAGAGGAAAGAAAACCTGCATAGTTGAACGATTGGAAAGCAATTTCGGCCATGGTTAGAGGAGAAGAGCTACAGCAAGTTATTGTAGGTGCGAACTTGCATCGCTACAACCTAGACCCTCTAAGGTAGATGTGTCCAGCTCTACAATTTGCAGTGTGAATAGGTACGTCAGCTATTGCTGATTCTGAAATGAGGGAATAATAGATGCGGTCGTGATCTAGGACGAACCTGTTAGCAACAAGAAAACCAGACAAATAGGGTGCCTCATAGCGTGATATAAGGTTGTGTAAACTAAAGGATTCATAAGTAGAATTTAAATAAACAAGTATTTGGTAGATTTTTCGAAAGGTCGAGACACGAAAGTGACCAACTTTGGGCATCAGTATGCAGAAGTACGCGTACAAACCTTGATGAAACAAAATAATTTTAAAGCGGATATGACGTACGGTAAAGCAAACGTTCGACACGTTACTTCAGCTATGCAAACTTAGTTTCGTTAGCCGTCAAGGTCAAGTAAACATTAAAGGATATGAATGCAAGTGTACTATTACAGGGACCAGGACTCTCACATCTGGCGGGAACGGGTTTGCGGGCCAAGATCAACCGGCACAGCCGAGAGTATAATGGTAGGGTAGGATTCTGATATGTATTTAAATAATTTGTATACATTATAAATAAACCAGTAGCGGATGTGTAAAGGAATCGGGGTCCTGTAGCTTTTATAGTACTACAGTTTACCGTAACCTTGACTGCGGATAACGACCCCCGTCGAGGTTTTCGCTCCCACTTTTCAGATTTCTGTATCAATACGGCGAACCGCAATGTCATCCAAGTGCCTAAGTTGTAGCAAACGCGTCACTTCCCGCTCAAAAGCTGTTCAGTGCGCTCTGTGTGAAGGGTGGCTGCACACTTCGTGCTGTAACATCGATGACGCTTTATATGAATGTCTCCAGCGCACTGCCTCTGAGGTCATGAGCTCACATTGTGACTCATGTCGAGTAATAGTGAATGACAAACGTCTTCTGGCTAACCATCGTCCTTTGAGTATATGCAGCCCTGTCACCTTGGCCGTGGACAATACGGAAGATGAGTTACCCCCATCATCCATTTCCCTACCTGCATCTGGATCTGCTACACCCAAACCAAATCGAACCCGCACCCTTTCTGCTACGTCGGCCGAGTCATTACCGTCCAGTAAGATGATTTGTCGACCGAGGAATAAGCCCGCAACGTATGCTGCCGTGGCGAGCGCCACCGCTCCAACATCAACCAGTCTATGCCCAGCTGAAAGCACGCCCCCACGAAAGCTGGTATCTAAGCCCAAGGCGAAATCCAACACCGGGGATAACCCTTCCATAGTGAAGGGAAATGTGCCCCCGACCTTTATCAGCCAAAGCCCAGCCACCAATGCTGTTAAGTTTAATCCCAAATCCGGGGATAAACCAAATTCTAAGCTCTCAGCTTCTCAGTCGCGAATGAAGCTAGTTCTCAATAGACTTTCTGAGCTAGAGAAAGTGATCAAAGAAAATCCGTCCTCTCGCAGACCGCAGATGCCTGAGCGCACTCCACCTTCTCGGGACCGTTGCCTCATCATTATGAACGCAGCCGAATCGAACAAAGCCACCCCAGCGGAAAGAATTCTGGATGACCAAATTCTTCTCGAGCGTTTGATCTCTTTGTTATTTGATGAAGGGGAACAGGGGATTAACATCGTTTCTGCATTCCGGCTCGGCAGGAAGCAAGAGGACCCAACCAAATTTCGTCCCCTCAAAGTCGTGTGTCAGACGGAAGAGGAATGCCGACGTATTCTGCGACGGACCTCGCGTCTCAAAGGTGAGCCATATTACGTACTACGTGATCTTTCTCCAGAGGATCGGATAAAAATGAAAAAGGCTGTTGAGGAGCTACGAACACGCCGAGGAAATGGTGAAACTGACCTTCATATTGTGGATTTTTGCGTGGTTCGGAAGACCCTGAGAGCCCGTTGGAGACCCATTCTTCTCATCCCGGGACAATAAAACACACAAGTGGACTATTTGTATTAACCGCCAATGTGCGCAGTCTGAGGAATAAATTGGATGAGATTCAGTTGATTGCCTCAGAGACCTGCCCGGACTTAATGGCCTTCACTGAAACCTGGCTATTCACCGACATCACGGATTCAGAGGTGTCTATCCCTGGTTATCACCTCTCCCGATCCGATCGACAAGGAGGGAGGCCCGGCGGTGGTGTAATAGTCTATTGGAAGACTGATATTAAAGTGCACGTAGTTGAAGCGATCAGTGACAAAGACGATGAGTTTGATGCACTCTGGTGTCGTGTTCATGATGGTCGGAGTTCTCTCTCATTTGGTGTTGTCTACAGAGCGCCTTCAGGATCCGGAGCCCGGTTGATGGACTCGATCAGGAAGCATGGTGCACGAAAGGATTGTCTTATCGTTGGGGATTTCAACGCTCCTTCTGTTGACTGGAACCTGTTTCTTTGTGACCGACCTACAGAATCCTTCGAAGCTAACTTACTGGAGACCATTCTTCATTGTAATTTGCTCCAACACGTCACTACACCAACTCGTATTCCTCCAGATCAGACGCCGCATATCTTGGATCTCGTACTCTCCCCAACACAATCAGACATCACGAACCTTTCAGTTCTACAGCCCATTGGCAGCAGTGATCACTGTACTGTCTCATTCCAGTGGTCACGTCGCCTCGCTGTTCACAGTCAACGTGCCGACCGTCGGAATTTCTGGCGTGCCGACACAACTCGTTTGAAAACGGCGGCAAGCATTGTCGATTGGAGTATCCCTGAACACCTCAATGTTGACGAAGCGTGGCATCACTTGTACTCCAAGCTGACGTTACTCATTGAACAGGTCATCCCCTTCTCCAAAAGAAGACCCTTCTCCAAAGGCCCTCCATGGATCGACCGCGAATTGAGATCAATGATGAAAAAAAGGCGAAAACTGTGGGATCGTTTCAGAATTACGCGAGTTGAGCTTGACTACTGTCACTACAAAACGGTCAGGAATGCTTGTAACATAAAAAAACGAGAGAAACGCCAAAAGTACGAACTGTCATTAGCTGCACTTTCTAGTACAAACTCCAAGGCGCTCTTCTCATACCTCAAACGAAGCACTAAAGCTGGAAGTGGTGTCCCCGCCTTGTCTCCCTGTGAGCATTTGGACCTAGTCTACGAAGACGGTGAGAAAGCTAGCCTTTTGGCCCAGCAATATTCCTCAGTCTACTCTACCGAAACCCCACTCCCAGATAGCGTTGCACCCACTCCTCCTTTCCTGCTGGAGCACGTGAATGTTTCCACTGACGATGTAATGAAACTTCTACTTGACCTAGACCCGTATTCCTCGCCGGGTCCCGATGGTTTACACCCATTGTTCCTTAAGACCGTGGCCGGACACATTGCCGCTCCTGTATGTCAAATTTTCCGTCGTTCCCTTGAGGTCGGGCGGCTTCCTACTGCTTGGAAGATGGGAACGGTTAAACCCATTTACAAAGGAGGGGACCGACAGAATCCAGCCAGCTATCGTCCCATATGTTTGACTTCGATTTTGTGCAAAGTTATGGAACGGATTCTGAAACGGGCCCTTCGCCTACATCTCGATGAGTTGGAGTTCCTATCTCATGCCCAACATGGCTTCCGAAGGGCGCGTTCATGTGCTACAAATTTGCTGGTAGCTAGGGAAAAATGGGCAAGATCCTTAGATGCCGGTAAGCGTCTGGATGCTGTGTTTGTCGATTTCAGTAAGGCTTTTGACAAGGTCCCACATGAGCGGCTCCTCTTCAAACTCCGGGGAATCGGCGTCACTGGCAATTTTCTTTCATGGGTCTCCGATTTCCTGCAAGGTCGCTTCATGCAGGTCAAAGTTAACGAAGCGCTTTCTGAGCAAATTCTCATGACTAGTGGGGTCCCCCAGGGTTCTGTACTCGGCCCCGAACTCTTCAATATCTTCATCAACGACCTGCCATCCGAACTGCAGACCGACTGCTTAATCTACGCGGATGATCTGAAGCTGTGGATTGAGGTTTCCAGTCTGGAAGACGCAGACATACTTCAAGCGACACTCGATCAGCTCCACGATTGGTCACTAAAGTGGCAGTTGCCCATTAACCATGACAAATGCGCTATCCTTCCAATCGGTGCTCCTGAGCCTTTTGGGGCTTACCATATCGGGGGTTTCCTGCTCAGAAATGTCAACCAAGAGAGGGACCTTGGGGTGATTGTGTCTCCTGATCTCAAATCAATGGAGGACACCCGGAGGAGGGTCGCATCCGCATACAGAATACTTCACGCTATACGGAGAGCCTTTTCACGCCTGACCCCAGCACTCTTCAGATTACTGTTTGCTTCTCATGTACGCCCAGTTCTCGAGTACGGATTGCCTGCTGCGTACCCGCTCACTAAGTCCGAACGTGACATGATCGAGAAGGTTCAACGGCGTGGATCCAAATCCGTTCCAGAGCTTCGGGACTTATCCTACCTCCTTCGGCTACAACGGTTGAACCTGTTCTCTTTGGATTATCGTCGTCGCCGCGGAGATATGATATTCACCCGGCGTATTCTACGAGGTGAGCTGGGGAGTGAGCTGCAATCGTTCTTTTGTCTAAACACAAGTTGTGCAACTCGAGGCCACCGGTGGAAACTTTTCAAACCGCGGCGACTCCGTGTACGGTCCGATCTGGCCCTATCCACCCGGGTAGTGAATGACTGGAACAGCTTGCCAGAAGCTGTCGTCGATGCGGAGACTGAGGAATGTTTCAAACGACGGTTGGATACCCACTCTCTGAGTGCGCAGGGATTCTGCTGCCCACAATACAACCATAGCGATCTTCTGCTGAACCTTGTTCCGCAATGATCCCAGCAACCCTCGCAATGTCCGGGAAGTGACGGAGCTGACAAAGGAACTTCCTTCTGCTCTCTACTAACCAATGAACCAATGAACCAATGAACCAGGTGCCCGAAGTTTCAAATTTCATAAATGGGTCTAAATTGGACCTATGTTATTGGATAAGTAAATAGTGCACTCAGCTAGTCAGAAAATGCAGAATAGCCATTTTAAGGCAGTATCTAAAGAGTGAAACACTTAAATTGAAGTGAAAATGAATACTTTGCTTACCTCACATGCTCCTATGTGATTTCTTTTTTGAGAAACGACTGGGCAAAATGTTTGGCGTACTTCGAGAAATAGATGGAAAAGAACGGAAATGACTGTGAGAATAATATGTAAATAACGGGGTAAACGGATGTGGCGCGAATAGGCAAATAACCATGCGATGTGCGCATACCTATTTACATATGGGACTTGCTACGGAATGCGTATTTATAAAGGAAAAGTAACGCGAAAGCGTCAGTTGCATATACGAATGCCTGAGGAGCGGTTAGTTAAGTGAGCTAAAGTGAAGGAGAAGTGAAGATGCATGTCGGTCCCTAGTCAATACGTGGTGGATAAATGCTCATAACGGCGGAATGAGCTTTCATAGGGTACATAAATGGTTGATGAAACCAATATATATATATATATATACATATATATAAGTTGCAAAATTAGAATGCATATATTGTAATTAATTATATGCATTCATTTTCAGACTGCATTATGTATACATAACTGTACGCATTATTAACCTCAATCCCATATATATGTGGATATATGTTAATAAGGCGTACATTTATGTTTACAGAACGCTGTCTGAAAGGGAATGCATATATTTAATTACAAATATATGCATTCCTAATTTTGCAACTTCAGCGTGATTAGAAATGTTATTGCTCCTCCAATCTAACTATGCTTATATCCTTATGTAGAAATACATTTGTATGCGTGTTACGGTAACACTGATCATCAGTTCTATGCCATTTAAGGGGACGGCACGTTATTAGTCCCCACTGTGATTACCTAATGCAAATCCCCGCAACTGGACGTCAGTGGACCAACGTATACATTCTTATCATTACAGAGATAGAATTGACCTTATCCGTACGTAAATGAGTAAATAATTAAGTACGTGGCTGTCAGTTTTCATGGAGGTTAACCGGTATCTGTAATGGTGCATATCAAGGTGTCAGGAGTAAAGTAAGTAGGTGACGCATTTCATTAATAAGTTAATACCGTTTTATGATGAATACTAAGGAAAATTTATCACACCCAGTATATGCGAAGTTATAGGAAGCATAGGGAATAATAGGATGGCAAAAGGAAGAAGGAAAAGATCAATAAACGTTTTGCGATGTTATCCTACAAGTAGCCCACATATATACGCAAGACTATAGGTAGGTTTATGTTCCTGCAAACGTGACGGGTACGGAGTAAGCCCGTATGATGGCCTCACGGGTGGCCTTTGTTTGTTCACTGAACCGCCATCCAGTGTTGGCCGCGATTGGTTGCACGAGCGATGCATGGAAAGTATCATTTGTTCTATAGCAGCGGTGTCATAAAGATCATTATGCAGGTAGATATTTTTGACTTCACTGCGGTAAAGGAACGGCGGTTAGTAAGCCTAGGTATGTTCTACAGAGAAGCCTAATTATGACCTACAGCGACAGTTATGTTATCGGCGCCAGGATGCTACATGAACGGCCTTCACTTATGCTAATTGGGTTCCATGATATTTGCAGCCATATGGGCTCTATGGAAGACTCATATACTTGCTGCGCATTTCTTGAGGGCTTCTTATTAGTAGTGCTATATTGGTCGCAGAGCATTGGTGTCGTTATCGTACCCAGCATAATCGCCGTCGTTGGAACGATTATCTTTAAATACGGGCGGGTACTAATACCATAATGGCCCAGCAGCGGCGGCATAGTAAGCACTGCTAACGAATGAAAAGTGAATGCATCTGCACGCCCATATAGGTCGCTTAGAGGGCATTATTTTTGCCAGGAGGGAAGAAACAGTGGTAACCTTAGGCATTGGGACAAAAAGAACGTAAGTAATGGGCTTTGTCAACGCTGCTGATATAACTGGGAGTCACATGGCTTTCACTTTGTTTCCGTCATTGCATGC